GTCTACTTTGTAGAGATAAGTATTGCTACTCCTGCTGTTTTGGGGGCCATTGGCTTGTAAATCTTCTTCCAGCCTTTCATCCTAAGCCTATGCTTATTTCTGTCGTGAGATGGGTCTCCTGTAACAACAAATTGTTGGATCTTCCTTTTTAATCCATTTTGTCAAGCGTGCCTTTTGATGGGTGAATTAAGTCCGTTAATTAAGCGTTAGTACTGATAGGTATGTGGTGATTCCTGTCATTTTTGTCTTAGTTGTTTGAAGGTTTGATTGTGTGTACCTAAGTTGAGGTTACTCTCTACTGTCTTGCTTTTTCTTTTCCTGTGGTTTGGTGCTGGCTGTCTTTTCATGGTTAAGTTGGTTTCACTTTCTGTGTGCAGAATCCCTTGAGAATCTTTTGTAGTGGTGGCTTTGTGGTCACATATTGTTTTAGTTTCTGCTTATCATGGAAGACTTTTATTGCTCCATCTATTTTGAATGATAGTTTTGCTGGGTAGAGTATCCTGGGTTGAAGTTATTTTCATTCAGTGCCCGGAAGATCTCACCCCACTCTTCTTGCTTTTAATGTTTCTGTTGAGAAGTCTGCTGTGATTTTGATGGGTTTACCTTTGTATGTTATTTGTTTTTTCTCTCTTACAGCATTCAATATTCTTTCCTTAGTTTCTGAACTTGTTGTTTTAATGATGATATGTCATGGGGTAGTTCTATTTTGATCTGGTCTGTTTGGTGTCCTGGAGGCCTCTTGCATCTGTATGGGAATATCTTTCTCTAGATTTGGGAAATTTTCCATTATTATTTTTGTTAATATATTACGCATTCCCTTCGCTTGCACCTCTTCTCCTTCTTCGATGCCCATGATTCTCAAGTTTGGTCTTTTGATGGAGTCGTGAGTTCTTGCATTTTCTTTTCACAGGTCTTGAGTTGTTTAATTAATAGTTCTTCGTTTTTCCTTTAATTACCATTTCATCTTCAAGTTCTGAGATTCTGTCTTCTGTTTGTTCTATTCTGCTGGATTGGCCTCCGTTTTGTTTTGCAGTTCTGTTTCATGTTCTTTTTTCTGAGGTTTTCCATATCCTGGCTGGTTTCCTCTTTAATGTTGTCTATTTTTGTCCTGAGTTCATTTATCCGTTTATTCATCGTGTTCTCTGTTTCACTTTGGTGTTTATACAGTGCTTCTATGGTTTCCTTTATTTCTTCTTTTGCTTTTTCAAATTCTCTATTTTTGTTGCTTGGAATTTCTTGAGTGTCCTGTATTTTGGTTGCCTATCCAGTATCATCTCTATAAAATCTCATTGAGTACCTGTAGTATGTCTTCTTTTAAATTATTCTTGTGGGCTTCATTGGTTCTTTGGCATAGTTTATCTTCATTTTGTTGGAGTCTGGATCTGAGTATCTGTTTTCTTCATTCCTCTGGTCCTGTACTAATTTTTTGCTGTGGGGAAACTGGTTTCCCTGTTTTTTCTGTCTTCCTCATTGTCCTTTGGTGTTGTTACTGTCCCTGTATGTGTGCAATTAAGTATTTTCTAGCTTGTAATAATAAAATGGTAATATTTAGAATGGAAGGGTGAGGAGATGGAAAGCAAGAAGTTAAGAAATGGGAAAAAAAAAAACAGACTGGAGAGAAAAACAAAACAAAGGTATCAAACAAAAGGTTTCAAAGGTATAAACAGGAGCTTAGTGTACTATTGAACAGTAAGCCTGAACAGGCATTAGAGAGACAGGAGAGGATTGAAAATAAAAAATAAAAAAAAAGATAAGATAAAAATAAAAAATAAATGAAAGAAAAATTTATATAAATATAAATAAAATGAAAAATAGAAAATAAAAAAAAGAAAAAACCAAAAAAACCTCCAAGTTCAAAATGCAATGAAGTTTCAGTCTTAATAATTTGGTGTCCTCTCAGTCTCCAATCCTGGAGATGGTGCCTCAGATGTTGTTTCTGTAGTTGTCTCATCAAAGGGACATAAAGTAGAACAAAACTACACAAACAAAACAAAAAACCCACAATGTCCCAAGTTCAAATGCAATACAGTTTCAGTAAGTTTTTTCAGCATGCAGGTGTAATTCGGTTGTTTTCTCATCAAAGGTAGGGAGAGAAAAAAAAAAAGAGTCTGGAGACAGTTCTGAGAATGGTATCTGCAGCTGTGGCTTGCTGCCCGCTGCTGTCAGCCTGCTGTTGCTGGAGGTTTTTTATGCAGATCTCAGGGGTGAGCTTAGCACTCACCTGGTCCACGGCTTTTGTTTGTTCAGAGTTTTTATCCTGTGCGGAAGCCTCTGCTACAGCTTTCCCCCTTTCCAAGCAACTGGGAAAGGTGACCCTGCCCCGAGCGTTTGTCAGCCCCTGCCGTGTTTTATTTACAAGTTCCTCGTGGGAGGTGGTTTTCCCCCCTCTCCTGTGCAGTTTTTCCCTCCCAAGCCCTTCACAAGCCTTTTCCTGCTTCCTGATTATTGGGCGGTGGCTGCTCCTGCCCAAGCCGCCACGTTTGTTTACAGTTCACGTGGAAGTGGGGTCTCCCTCCTCCTCCTGTGGAGTTTTATTCCCTCCTCCACTCTGCTACAAGCTTCCTGCTTCCTGTTGCTGGGGGGTTGCCCCGCAGAGCTCTCCAGCGCCAGCTTTGTTTTTACAGTCCAGGAAAAGGATTCCTTCCCCGCCAATCTTTGGGGCTCCACGCGCCCCTTTTCCTCTTTCCAGTGTCCTTTATTGCTCTATTGCTTATTATCAGGTTTCTCTTTTTTCCCCGGGTGAAGGTCAGTCCTGTTCCAGGGGCTATCTGCTCTGGCCAGGCTTGTCTGTGGAAGTATGGTGGTACCGGCTACGCTTCACCTGGTCGCGTCTTCCCAAGCGTCTGGGTGCCGGGGACTGGCGGCCGGGGGCCTCCTGGTTTCCTCCGTTTAAACGTGAAGTGGAGATGCTCTGGCGCCGGTTGGAGGTGTGGAGGGGTCAAAGTTATGCCTTTTCTCAGTGATGATGCCTGCAAAAGTGGGTCTCCCGCATCTCTCCAAGATTCAACTATAGGAGGCATCGCTTTCTGCTTCCCTCCCTCTTACCGCCATCTTGGAAATCCTCTTCCTATTTTTTTTTATCCAACCTAAATGTTTTCTCAAAACTAGGCATTCTTGTTTGCCCAGAAGCGAGAATGTGGTTCCTTGTTTCTGCAATTGGGCCTGGCTCTTTTAATGTACATTATTTACTGCTTCTGAAAAGCGATGTAGCAGGCACTCCCCACACTGAATGTAGCAATACGAGGTTTTGTGAGCATGTAGACTAGGCCTAGTGGTTTTGATGCCTTCCTGCGAGCCCTACGTCTTGAGGTGCGGGAATTTGAGAGGAGCCTCAGACTTCGTATGGCTCCTATTTTTAAGAGCCCTCCTTCTAATGAGTGGGTATCCCAGAAAAGGAGGGCATTGTTGGGGGTCTTGTTGTAGTTCCTTTCTTACTCCCTCATGATCCCACTGTCTACTTTTTTTGACAGATCATCCAGCCATCACTCGTGGGTGGAGCCGCCCACCATTACTCTGGAATGGAAGAGGAAGGTGGCCCAGGAAGCCATCGAGAGCCTCAGTG